AGCATGTAGAATGGAATTAATGTGGAGGAAGAAATTGATGAAGGAATATCAGTTATAAGATCAGTTTTCAATTACCTTGGTAAAAGATATTGAGTACTAAAACTAGGTGGGTGGCAATAGGAATAAAAATAAATTTAAAAAATACAGGCACAGTGATTAAATTGTTATAAAATAGAAAATTTTTAAAATGAGTTCTGTTTGCATTGAATAACCTTTGTCATAATTAACAATCCCTAATCTACTATTAACTAAAACTATCGTGAACACCTTATGTACCAAATCCCCTGGGGAATTCTTTCATAAAACAACTCACTTAGAAGTCAAAGAAGGACAAAGACTTCCATCGTCTTCCGAAGAACGACCTGCTGCTGTGATTGAAGTAAGCGGTGTCATGTGGGGGCAATGTCATATCCTGTGCCATTTTCTTAATACTTGGCAACCTTGGCTCAGAGCAGGCAAGACTGGTGGTGTAGGTGGGACAGTCAATGCATAGATAAAGGATTATAGCAGTGGAAGCTTCCCTAGTCTAGGTTTAGGAGAATTGCTGCTCTTGAGAAATAAGGAAGTTACCTGAGGTAAAATGAAATAATCTGATTTATGCTAGATAGGAAAAATTGAACAAAGTTCTCAGCTACCAGGGAGAATACCTCTGGTAAGAGTAAAGTGGATTAAGAGCCCCTGGAGAGTACTAACAACCTTAGCTTCTGCTGTGATTTTAGGCCCAGGCTAAACATAGAGGTCAAAACAAGGAGTAGGGAAGAGGGCATGTGGGCAGTACGCAACCTCTCAAACTTTATAAATAAAAAAGCAGTGTCAGAAATATGACAGAAATATCAACAATATATTAAAGCAGCTTCATCTGTATATTATGAAACTTAACTCATGTTAGGTTCTACAACAGCAACAAAAATCACTATTTTAAAATGAAAGCAAATTTAAAAATAAAGGTATAGTACAGAATGCTACTGGCTTATAGAACAGGATGATATTTGGCTTATTCAAATTCACCAAATTATTTGTTTATGGCAATAATTCCACAGTCTTGTATATCTTGACAAATAATTCTTATCTTTTGGTAATAGTACACATTTGAAAATGAGGTCAAAACAGAAGTTTTTCTTTTTCTACTTCTATTTTAAATCTCTTGGGGTCCTGGTCCTTCAATGGTCCTCTCAGTTTTTCTCTCTTTGCTTTTCTCACCTCTCTCACCACCACCTCTTTCCTGAGAAGATTCAACAATCTTGGTAGTTGTTGGACAGGAGCCACCAGAATCCTGAGCTTATGGAAAGCAACCGTAGCCTAGTTCAGAACCATGGACAGGGGATAAACCTTCCTACACAGACTCAAAGACCTTAGTTCCAAGAGATTCATCCTGCAGAGAACGTGGATGACTACGGGAGAAAGGAAAGAAAGAAGATGATTGTCTCCTCTCTTAAACTATCTTTCCCGTTATCTTCATCATTGTTTTATAGAATTGCCTGAATTTTGGTGAAGACAAGGCTGGTACTTCAAAAAGAAAAAGAAAACAATATATAGAAGCCTTGCAATGTTCTTCATCATACAACTCTGACTACAAATGCTCAGGGAAGGGTGAACTTCAGTCATACGCCATCAAAGCACTAAAAGAGTGTCATTCTAATTTAAAAGATTATTCATATTTGGAGAAGGTACTCACCCGGTTTATTCACTATCATTTATTCGTTTCATCAAATTGACTTATCAGTAGTTGTATCAAAGTGACTTATTATGCAGAAGAGTTGTATCACTAAGATCTCCCTTAAAGAGTACCTGCTGAGAGATGTGTACTTGACTCACAACCTCTAGCTGCCACATCTCAATAATCTACCACATTCTTGCCAAAAACACACTCTCCTCAGCCTGCTCACAGCCAATGACTGAACATAGTGGAAGTAATAGAGCTGAGCCACTCATGCCCAGTGTGGGGTCCTCTAATAGGCAATCCTGTCTCTAGGACTCCCCATTGGCCTGACTGAGAATTTCTCACAGCCTCACTGCAGTTAATCTGAGGCTTTTCAAACCTAACCCTCCTTCCTTCTCCCTCTCCTTTCACAGGTGTCAACTCCACATCACGGACTAAAGGCTCTTCTCATCTATTCCTGTTGTTTCTCCATTTTATCTTTCAGAGGTGTTTTCCCAGTAAAGTTCTTGTACTTCCAATACTGTACTGTGTGCATGCTTCCTGTATGACTCGTAACTAACATATATGACAAAAGTTACCAAAACCTTATAAAACCACAAAACGTATAAACTGTCAAATTTATTGATTTCACTAAAACATGCATCTTTCCAGTCTTCTCTCTCTTCCCTTCCTTTCATTAAGCTTTTCTCTCTCCCTCTCCCAATTTCTTTCCCAGAACCTTTCTTAATTTTTTGTTGTGACAGATTAGAATAATAGAATGAAACTTGGCATGTCTTTTCCAGCAATTATTACAGGAAATAGGCAGAAATTGAGCAGAAATAAGGGAGCAGTAAGGTTAACTCTATTCTCTGGTTTCAGTGTGTCTAGATTGTTTTATTGCTGACACTTGAGAAGGGGGAGGGAAGGCTGAACGTGGTTTGGCTTTGAACTGATTAGGGATGTTGAAGGTAGAGAAATAAAGAATGTAGTAGCATTGTCATGAAGAAGCAACGGCTCTCTAACTTGAAAGTCAGCTCCAGTCTCAGCTCCTCAGGACAGTAGAAGTTGTGATATTTAGAGAGACAATAGTAGTAATTTATTTTATAAAAAAGATACATAAAATACTTGTAGAAAAAGTAAAATAATAAACAAATATTTCTGAAAGAGCTTGTGATTGGAGGATCAGGAAATAAAAATTATCATCCCCTTCCCATACTATCATAATTATAAAATCGCTTGGAAAGTCCTTGAAATTATCAGTTTCTGGTAAAATAATGATATGGAAGTGATTTATTCAAAATACAAGATGACCTATTTTAGCTAAACATTTGCACAGCATGCACTTAACAAAAACATGGATGCAGGTTAACTCCATTGCTTTGATAATAATAAAGGTCCATAATCAGACATGAGCTAGGAAGGTAAGTTGTTACGAAGTGATGGGTGTCATAGGTTGTGGGAGTTGCGGGACCTATAAGAGCATACACCCAGATAAGACTCCAAGATCATGACATTATATTATAACAATTGTTTATGATTAAATAGAAACTCAACTTATTTTTTAAAATAATCATTTTATTAATTGTCAAATTAACACTCTTTAGTAAACTTCAAGGAAGAAACAATGTTTGTGGTACAGGGAAGGAGAGAGCAGTTCATTTACTACCTGAATTCTTTATGAATAATTGATGGTGAACTTTTATCATAACTGGCTTGCATAACATATTTAAATTCTTATGACATTACAAATGGAGTGTGAGTTAGTCACATACTTATTTTAAGGACTTTGAAGAGTTTATAGAAATAATATATTAATTACTTCTATTTGGCACCATCAAAACAAATATTATGTATATCATTTTCCAGAAATTTTAAAATTTAAAAAAATTAAACCTTACAAATGTTTTATTTAAAATTAAGTAACATATGGATATATTCAACAGACAATTTCCAAAGAATGAGAATATTATAAAACAGAACTGTGAAACTATATCTTTGCCTAAAAAATCTTCGCTGTACCTAAAACATCTATCTAAATTTTACTTCAATTTATATTATGTACAAATGTGCTCAAATTTCAACACTTAAAAAATAACACATACATATAATACATATACTTATGATACATACACATATGTATATATGTGTGTGCGTGTGTGCATGCACCCAAGCATGTATAAGTTTTGGTTCACAATTATACTTTTAAAAATCTAACTATTATGTTTACAACAGTATCATTTACAATATGGAAACTAGAAATAATCTTGAAAGCCCATCCATAGAATAATAAACAAATAAGTATTCCATAACTGTTTTGAAATATTCACATCAGATAATGGAGTGAAAATTTTCTAAGACATGTTGTTAAACAGGAAAAAAAAAAAGAAAAATGGAAGTCGCAGAGGCAATATAGCATAGTTATGAAGAACATAGACTCTAGAGCTAGATTAATGGATTAGAATACTGACTTTTTCACTTCCTAGCTATATGACAGAACACCTTTTTTTAACCACTTTGTACATCAATTTTCTCATTGGTAAGTAGAGGTCAAAATAGCACTTACCTCATAGGTTTACTGTAAGGATCAAGGAAGTCAGTATATGTGAAAACTTCAGAACATTACCTGGCACAAAGTCAGCAGTAAACTAGTGTTTATTTATTTACCTATAGAATGGCTTGATTTATGTTAAAATGCATAGATATATACACAACACAAAATTACTTAATTTATGTGACACAGGTATGTATGCAAGCACATAGAAAAAGGCTTACAAGGATACGTACCAAACTGATAACTAGTGCATAACTGGAAAATAAAGGGGATCCTTTGCTTTTGTTTGACTATTTTACATGGAGATTATAATTCATACAGTGTTTTGTAATTAAATATCAAATACTTTGATACATTTACTAAATGTAATACTACGCAACTGTTAAAATGATGATACAGATTACATTCATTGACTTATTGACATGGAAAGATGTTCATGCACATATCATTAAGTGCAAAAAAGTAGATCATAAGATAGTATGAGTTGTATTAATATGACATTCATTTATGTATGACATTTATTTATGTAAAACTATGCAGTTATATTTGCTTATGAAATAATAATGTTAATAGTTAATCTGGTTAGGAGATTTTGATATATATATATATTCATATTGTTAGAAATTTTTGCCATGAGCATGTATCCTTTTATTGTTAAAAAATAACACTTTATTTTGAAAATGGAAAGCAACAGTTAGACTAGCTAATTATACCATCATGCATCTTACATTCAAAATATATGTTTTGAGAGCACAGCCAAGTAACGCCAATGAATGGAATGAATTAGAAAGTTTATGAATGCACACTTACCCACCAAACTCCTGGAGTGCAGAGAATTTGGAAGCATCCAAATCATTGCCACTTACTATTCGAGCCTTAAATGAAGAACAAGAAAAAACAAAACAAAACAAACAAACAGGCTTTTAGCATACTACAGCCTTATGTACATGAAATTGGGTCACGCGTCAACCGCACTAGACAAGTAACACCTAGTATGACAAGTGCTAAGTAGGGTCAGCTCCAGGTCAAAACTACTGTGGTTTTGTGAGTGGAGGTTTTGAAATTAGTTGTCAGCATTTAAAGAAAAGCACTGGCAGAGTCCAAGAAAATATATTCCAAATACTATTTGCCCTTAAAAGTCGAATGTGCAGTGAAGTCATGAATCAGTCAGGAAGGTTATGATTCGCCAGACTTAAGAACAGATGCTGTGTTTGACTGTAGCAGACCCCTAGGTTGGCAAGTGTAAGATAAAGAAAGCACAGCTGGCAAGGTTTAACCTCTTCATAAATGCAACGTATCGGGGCACACTTAAAGGATAACCAAAGAATGAAAAGCTGGGATATCATGCACATTTCACAACTAAAACAGAGGAACCAAAACAGATCTAATATGTCACAAACAAACATGTATAGAAGACAAGATCCCTCAGGAGGGAAGAAAAAGTATGATTTAAAACCTTTTCATCCACAGAATTGCTATCTGAAAGAGAATCAGGAAAAGGGATAAATGTTAGATGGAGTACTTTTCAAGAAATCATTTAAACATATACATGAACAAAGTGTTACCACGTTACAGTGTCTACAATCATAAATGACCAGAGTTTCAAAGTTGAACCCCTAGGGATCAGGGTCTCATAATACAAACAGCCGGAAAACGTTTCAGAATGCTTGAAAAGTATAAAAGGGTGATTACGGGGTTTAATGAAAGACAACGCGGCCCATAAAGAAAAAAACGCAGTTGAGGAATCAGAAGTCCTAGGCTCCAGCTGAGGCTCTGCCACTTACTAAGCACATTGGGCAAACTACCAAAGTCTCTAGAGTCTAGAATCTAGACTCTACTCTGAAGTAAGGACACTGACCCTGTGCCTGTTTGCCTCGCAACGTTTTTACAGGATCAATTGAGATCAATCTATGTGAAAGTAAACCACGGTTGACTATATAAATTAAAGATGTTTTATTATGGGTTTTTTTATTTATGGCTTCTCATATCATATCTTACAAAAAAGAAAACAGATGCCCAAAGGGGTTAAGTAAGTTGAATGCAATCAGAAAACTGACACATGGCATAAGGGGACACTAATCCAGGGCACCTTAACCCCGACCCAGTGCCCTTTAGATTCGATGTTTCAGGTGAGTTGAACAAAACAGTGAGATGTGGTTTGTCCACAGTTCTCCAGTACAGTTTAAGATAAATCGCAGGGTCAAAATGTTTCAGTTCAAACTGCTCAAGGGCCTAAAAAGATGAAAAATGGACCAGTAAGTTTTTATTTTTATTTATTTATTTTTTAACTCAGGTCTAAATCTGCCAGGGTCATAATGATACAATCTATTTCTACCTTTCACAGTACTGTTGCTCTTAAACTTATTAATTCGGCTGTGATGATTAGCATAAAGTTGGAGGGACTCCTCTATAAATGCAAGTTGGTAGACTGCTGGAGCTGGAGTGATCTATGAGTTCATTTAGCCTAATTCGCTCCTTTTTATAGATGACCCCCAAAGGGAGAAAGTGATTTGCCGAAGGTCATGTAGCTCAGTGATGACCCTTGATGATGAAAATCTGACATGTATTAGCTTACCTGACTCATTAACATGGAATGATTAATTACCGTGACTAAATACTTTTATGCAGATTTGCTAATACCTCAGGGTTGTATCGTTGGATATAAAACATGGTAAATTTCCGTAGAAAGTAATAAAAATCTTACTTATGGCCATAAATATTTAAAAGTACTGCAGAAAGCATAGCAAATAAAATTCATCATTATAGCTAAGGAATAATATATCTAGCTCAGAAAGTTTTATCTCAAGGATGATTTAACATTATGAAACAACTAATTTAATATATCAGTTGGTCAGAAAATATGTACAGTATCTGAATTTCAATAGGTATCGAAAAGCCATTTGATAAAATTCAAAATGTCCTAAATATATTGTTTAAAATTTCTTTAAAGTAGGAATGGAATGGTTCTTCCTTAAGTTTAATATATTAAAAATAATTACTTTTAGAGTCATCAAGTTAAGTGTGAAATAGTAAGGGCATTTCCATTATCATTAAAAGCAAAACAAAAATTTCTACACTGCCACCATTATTTTAACTTATTTCTGGAAATTTTAGCAAAGATATTAAAAGATGAAACAGAAATATACAATATAAATATTAGAAGGCAAGATACAAAGTTGTTATAATTTTATACCCAAAAAACAAACAAACAAAATCACCTGGAAAACTATTAGGGTTAATACAATGGCTAGTAAAGTGAACAGATAGCCAATACAGATAGCCAATACATAAGCAAGAGAGTAAGTTACTTCCTACATACTAGGAATAACTAGTTTGAAAAAAAATGAAATAAGATTTGATTTCAAATATCTGGTTCTTCAAATAACTAGTTTGTATTCACTGTCTCCTCTATCCTTCTCAACTCACTGATAACCAGCTTCCATCTCAATCATCACACTAAAGAAAAGTAATTTTAACAAAATTATCACTCTTCAACTGCTAATTCCAGTAATACATTTCAACTTTTCCATTCATTGATTCATTCAATTGGATAAATATTTATTAATTATCAACCAAAAAACCACACCCATTGACATCCAGTTGATTCCGACACATAGAGACCCTTTAGGACAGAGTAGAACTGACCCATAGGGTTTCCAAGGCTGTAATCTTTTCAGAAGCAGCCCTCTACATCTTTCTCTCACGGAGTGGCTTATGGGTTTGAATCACTGACCTTTCGGTTAGCAGCTGAGAGCTTAAACACTGAGCCACCAGGGCTCCTTTTTAAATTATCAGCAGATCCCTTTCATTCACTTTGACTCCGTTCTTGTACCTCTGCTATATTCTTCTCCCTTAAGCCTTTCTAAAATATAGATATGATCACGTCACTCCCCTTCTTAAAACCCACCAACGATACTCATCCCACTTGTGAAAGAAAGGCTGATCCAGATCTACTGTTGTCTCATGATCATCATTCCCCACTCACATTCTACACTTTGGCCTCAATTAAATTCTTGAAATCTCATTTCCTTGTCTTTCTCTCTCAAATCTATGTACCTTTGCAGTTTTTGTTTCCTTCCCCTAAAATAACTGTTCCCTCTTCTTCATCTAGCTGCCTATCAACCTCCAAAACTCAGCTCAAGCCTAATCCCAAGGATCCGTGACCCTACACGTAAGTATTGTACACTGTGCTTTCCTCTGTGCTAATCTTCATCCTTTGTTTACTTATCTGCAGTCCTCCCAGAATATAAGCTCCTTTATGATAGACTATTTTTAACCCTCTTTTTAAAGTTTTTACCACATTTCTGAAATTACTAGATGACCAATTAATGCTTGTGGAACGTTTATTAAACCGCCTTAATTGGCTACAACACTTTACAGAAAAAAAAAAAACATTGCTGTCGAGTCAATTCTGACTCATAGCACCCTTATAGGACAGGGTAGAACTGCCCCATAGGGTTTCCAAGCAGTGGCTGGTGGATTCGAACTGCTGACTTTTTGGTTAGCAGCCAAGTTCTTAACTACTGCGCCATCACAGGGCTAGCATCTAAAAATATGAATAAAAGGGAACATTATTTCATCTTCCTTTATAAAGAGGAAAGATTATTTTCTAATAGATTTAACAGTCAAAATCCTAATGGCAGGTTACTGTAACTTGAAATGATTTTAAAGTGTAAATAGATTAATAAACAAGTGAGATTAACAAAGACTTTTTTAATGGAGCATTTTGAAGAGGGTGTATACAGATATTAAAATATTAGAAATCTATAACAGCTAAAAAAAAAGTATGGTCCTTGCAAAACAATAGATTAAAAGAGCAGTGAAACATAAATTATAACCAAGTAACATATCCTTATCCTTAAAATACCCTTATCTTCAAGAATTTTAATGAGTAAAAAAGAACACATTGTTATCAAAGAGGAAGAGAAGCACTAGTCAATAAATGGTGTTAGACAATGAGTTAAATAGTTGTAATATTCATTTGTATCATTATCTCATGCATATCCCAAAGTTCCAGATATATTAAAGAGTTAAATATTTAAAAAGTAAAACAAAAACCTGTGGAATGAGAAGAAATGTTGGAAATTAGAGGTGAAAGAAGAAACTACAGAGAAAAATTTGAGAAATATGCTATATCTACTTAGTAGTATGAGTCGGAATTGACTTGACAGCAACTGGTTTGGTTTTCTTTATTTAGTACTTCTAACCATAAAGAAAATTAAAAAGAAAATTAACATATATTTGCTGAAAATATAAATTAGCTGGACGACAAATAAGGAAGACTGAAGAAGAACTGATACCTTTGCATTATAGTGTTGGTGAAGAATATTGACTATACTATGGACTACCAAAAGAACAAATAAATCTGTCCTGGAAGAAATACAGCCAGATTGCTCTTTAGAAGCAAGGATGGCAAAACTACATCTCACATACTTTGGACATGTTATCAGGAGGGAAAGTTGTCACATGAGAGCTGAAAACAGTTTAGAGAAAACTCACCAATGTAATCAGAGGAGTGTTGGGTTTCTATTTACCATTACAGAGTACCTACTATGTGCTATGTATTCTGCTAAGCACTTTATCTGCTCTTTCATGGACTCCTTCTGACTCTCTTGTGAGGTATTAACACGCATTACACTCTGCTTGGTAAAGTAGAGGGTCAGCGAAAATGAGGAAGCTCTCTATTAGATGGATTGACACAGTGGCTGTAACAATGGGCTCAAAGCACAACAATGATTATGAGGATGGTGCGAGACCAGGCAGCACTTCATTCTGTTGTACCTAGGGTCGCTATGAGTCAGAATCGACTCTGTGGTACCTAACAACAACAACAGCATACTCTGCTAGGGCAGAGGAAGCACTCTGGCATGGCTCACATTTCAATTGTCATTCTGGATGCAGTGGGGTGGGTGTCAAGTGAGAGAGTAATGTGAATGTAACTCATATCTCACATACCATTGATTGTTCCCTTATGGGCTGAGGGAAATCTGAGAAATTGAGTAATAAGGACAATACAATGTGATAAATGTATATGAGAGATGAGAACAAAGTGATAGAGGAGCACAGAGAAGAGAACTACTAACTCTGCAGCCAGAGAGGACATTGGACTTGGAAAAGATTCATGGGGGAGATGATTTATGACTGGGTGTTTGTCAAAGGATGAAGGCATACTGGCAGAGGGAAAAGAATTTACAAATGCATTGAAGCTTGGAATAGCATGGACTGTCAGGAACTGAAATATGTGACAATAAAGGTAGATGTGTAGGCTTTGTAGTATGAAAAGCATCATATGGCCTAAAAATAAATTTAAATTATATCCTAATTGCAGTGCAGAACCACAGATTGTTTTTGAGCAAAAGAGTGACATAAAACATAATCAGAATTTTATTTTCTCTTTTAAAATCCGGTTCAGTAGAAGGATTCTGCCCTCTGACCCACCTAAAGCACAATGCCACACACACACAAATTCTAGGCAATGT